AAAAAAAAAAAAAAAAAAAAAAAAAAAAAATCTTGCTGATTTGTATTAGCTGAAACACAGTGTATGTTCAAGTTAAAAAATGATTTTTTAGATGATTGTCTGAAAATCTAAAAGACACTAAATGTATGGTTTCATTACTAACACTCTGTAAGTGCATTACTAAGTTATTCCATTATCAATACCCATTTAAAAAGATGGATACATAACATTGTTTTGATTAGCTAAATTTTGATGAGTTTGGGCAACTCCAATAATATACCAAGAAGGCATAGCCATGTGCATATGTAACCTAACATGCCTGATAGTAACAGGCATAGTCAGTTCCCATATGTGAGGAAATACATTGGATGTGTGAATTTCTGATACCTGCAAAGGCATATATCCCATCTATCCCCATCCGTGCCCCATAACTCCCAATCTATGAAGGAAACAAAACCACAAAAATTGCCTTTCTGGTGGCAGGCATGAATAGTAGGAAGTGAGGCAGGCATGTTATTTTCCTACATACACTAGGCCCTGTCCAGAGCAATCTTTGGAACAAGAAGGGAGAATTAGGTGTTTTGTGTTTTTTTCCTGACATTACCCTAGGCTTGTCGGTCAAGAGAATTAGGTCTTATCTTAAGGGTTGATGAGGATGATTTCTGGGATTCTCCCTCTATCAGGCATGAGCCTGTGTGTATGCACCTTGGGCTGTGATATTTTTCTGTTTCAAGCTTTGTCTCTGTTTTCTCATAGTTTATGTTTTTAGTTTGTTTGGTCTGTCTTTAATGGTACTTTTTATTTTGTTTTTCTTTTTTTTTTAATTTTTTTTTTCTAATGGTACTTTTTAAATTTAAATTTTATTTTAATTTGTTTAAGAGACAGGGGTCTCACTTTGTCACCCAGACTGGAGTGCAGTGGCATGATCATGGCTCACTGCCACTGTGATTTCCTGGGCTCAAGTGATCCTCCCACCTCAGCCTCCAGAGTAGCTGGGACTACAGGCATGCACCACCATGACTGGCTGATTTTTTAATTTTTTTGTAGAGACAGGGTCTCTCTATGTCACCCATGCTGGTCTTGAACTCTTAGACTCACGCAGTCCATCCACCTTGGCCTCCCACAGTGCTGGGATTACAGGTGTGCACCACTGTACCTGGCCCGTCTTTCCTGGTAGTTTTTCTCAAATGCTTGGTAAAGTTTATTCATATTTAAGAGTAAAGTAGTAACACAATGATTGGAAACTTGTGTCCATGAGCAAGACATGTTCATTGTAGGATCTTGATGTTTCATTGAGGATCCTCCCAGAAGACTATGTCAATTTTCTCAGCAGAATTCTCCTGTTTCCTATCTTACAGGGTTGCATAGTTGCACATAATCAATTTTGTGTGTGTGTGTGTGTGTGTGTGTGATTTATAATATGAGGAATTGGCTCATTTAATTATGGTGGTTGGTTATTCCAAAATCTACAGGATGGGCCAGCAGACTGGAGATCCAATGTTCCAGTTTGAGTTCAGTAGCAGTCTACTACAGAACCAGAAAGAACTGCTGTTGCAGATGAAGTCTGAAGGCAGTCTGTTGGACATTTTCTTCTTAATTAGGGGCCCTTCTATTCAGGCCTTCAACTGATTGGATGAGACCTATCCACATCATAGAGGGCAATCAATTTGCTTTACTCAAAGTCTGCTGATTTAAATGTTAATCATATCCAAAAATCCCTCACAGAAACACCCAGAATAATGTTTGTCCAAATATCTGGGCAGCCTGTGGACCAGCCAAAGCAACACTTAAAATTAACCATCTGATATGGTTTGGCTGTCTCTCCACCCAAATCTCATCTTGAATTATAATTCCCATAATCCCCACATGTCATGGGAGGGACCTGATGGGAGGTAATTGAATCATGGGGGGGGGTTCCTCCATGCTATTCTTGTGATAGTGCGAGGCTTCTGGCTTCTCTCTGCTCTCATTCTTTTCCTTCCTGCCATCATGTGAAGAAGGATGTGTTTGCTTCCCCTTCCATTATGATTGTAAGTTTCCTGAGGCCTCCCTAGCCATGCAGAACTGTGAGTCAGTTAAACCTCTTTCCTTTATGAATTACCCAGTCTCAGGCAGTTCTTTATAGCAGTGTTAGAGTGGGCTAATACATCATTACGGGGTGTAAATTTGGCTACTGGCACTCTGAGACCTAAGCAGTAGAAAGGGGTGAGAAATGGTCTTGTTATCCTCCCTTGGCTATGCCTGGTTGTATCTGAGTCCAGCTTCATTTTCAGGGAGTAAAGCCTAATGTCTTTCCAATATAGTGAAGGAATTTGGAGTTCTAACTGCTTCTTATGTAGCCTTTCATGCAATACTCCAGTTTTCTGTTCCTCTGGAATCCTCACTTTTTAGAGATATCTGGTCCCTCAAATCTTGATCCTTTCTGGGAGTTGTCAAACATGAATCTGATTTTTTTGAGGCTTTTTCTGTTGATACCTTATATTTTATTTTATCTGTTCTGCTGACTTGGTTACTATTTGCCCATCTTCATTCTAGGTTCCAAAATTTTGTTTAGATTTTTCATTTGCTGTTGTCTCCTCTCTTGTTCTCTTTGTACTTGTGCTTTGCTTTATCCCCTTTTTATTCTTTATTTATTTATTTATTTATTTATTTATTTATTGGAAATGGAGTCTCGCTCCATCACCCAGGCTGGAGTGCAGTGACGTGATCTCAGCTCAGTGTGACCTCTGCCTCCCAGGTTCAAGCCATTCTCCTGCCTCAGCCTCCTGAGTAGCAGGGACTACAGGTGTGCACCACCATGCCCAGCCTAATTTTTGTATTTTTAGTAGAGTCAGGATTTCACCATGTTGGCCAGGCTGGTCTCAAACTCCTGAGCTCAAGTGATCCACCCATTTTGGCCTTCCAAAGTGCTGGGATCACAGGTGTGACCAGCCATGCCCAGCTACATTTTTCATTCTTTTACTGTCTTTTAAATGGGGCTTTAGGAGAACCTCAAATTAATCATGTGTTCAATATGCCATTTTTAACTGGAAATCTCCCCCTCCCCTTTTTTAGCATTAACTTTTTAACAAGAAAAATAGTTATAATTAACTAGACTATACATTATAAAGGCCTCAGCACTACCAAGCATTCTATAAAAAGCATTCTGGCTCAAAACAAACACTCTGATACCCATGGATAACGGGTGTACAGAGGTTAGAAGATATTTTCAACGTAGATAAACTGGACCAATTTAGTTTTGTTTTAATAAATTTAATTTCAAGAAGCTGTTATAAAATAGAAATATTAGGCCGGGCGCAGTGGCTCACACCTATAATCCCAGCACTTTGGGAGGCTGAGGCGGGCAGATCATGAGGTCAAGAGATCAAGACCATCCTGGCCAACATGGTGAAACCCCGTGTCTACTAAAAATACAAAAATTAGCTGGGTGTGGTGGCGTGTGCCTGTAGTACCAGCTACTTAGGAGGCTGAGGCAGGAGAATTGCTTGAACCCGGGAGGTGGAGGTTGCAGTGAGCCGAGATCACGCTGCTGCACTCCAGTCGGGCGCCTGGCAACGGAGCAAGACTCTGTCTCAAAAAAAAAAAAAAAAAGTTATATTTCTAAGCCTCATTTGCTGACTTACTTTTTACAGTATTTGATTCAATGAAATTTTAGTATAATAAGACAATTCAGTTACTTTCTTAGAATTCATTTTAGTAGTATTCTTTCTCTGGATAGCCAGATGTATAAAACAGGTATGTAGCAGTAATGACTTCTTTCATTGTGAAATTAGTGCTTTTGTTAAGACTTAAGACTTGTTTCAGTTGCTGCTTGACTATGGCATACCAACTGTAATTTCCTAGATAATCTTCCAAGAATTATGATAATCAGGTATTACCTTCTCTTTTGGTCCTATCCCTTTGATGTCTAAATCAAGGACAAGTAAACTTTGAGTTCTGAGTATGCTACTAGTGAAAATAAGCTATGCTGTGCTAGTAAGTATAACTGGTAAGTCTAAACATAGGAAGAGAAGAGAGAAAACAGAAGGTAGAAGTAAAGTCAAAAAAGGTCTTAAGAGAGAAGATCACAGTTTGGAGAGGGTTGTTTTATGGTGGTTGACTTGAATGCCTGGCTACTCATTTTTTTGATTTTTGATAGCATCTTTCCATAGATATATCTCATAGTGAAATTATGGTCTGAATATACTTTTTTTCCTTCTTATTGGTATTTGTTTCCTCAGTTTCTTAATAGCCACAGAATTGAAGATGAAAAATTTATTTTTATTTCAGGGAATGCAGCCTCATCTCCAGGCTTTGTTGTTGCTGTATAAGTTCTTTGCCCCTGCTCTGATTTCTGTATCTTTGCCTGTAAGGAAGAAGGTAAGGGATTAAGGAGAGAGAAATCATATTGACATTGAAATATGTTATTTTTGGTAAGGTTAACTTACAGATTTCAACTGAAATATTTATAGCCTACTATTTTACTATCTAGTATTGTGGTACTGTTTTGGGGAAGTTTTTTTTAGGGATTGGCATTTTGTGTTAATCCTATTTAGTGTATTTAATAGATTGCTGATGAGAAAAAAACAACTTTAAATGTATTTGTATGGGTGTAAAGGATTTCATAATATATTTTCAATTAATAAGAGTTTTAGACTTTATGTTGCTCCAATTTATGGGTGCCTACTTTCTTGTACTTTGTATCCAAATTTATAGATCTATTTTAAGAATTCAGAGAATCTTTGGAAGACAGCTCTGCTTGCCGTGAAGCAAAGAAACCAGGGACCTTCTCCAGAACCTCTGAAATTGATGTTAGGTCCAGCTAATGTTCGTCCTCTAAAAAGAGTAAGTATCTAAAGCCCAAACAACTTGCATGACTTTCTTTTATTAAATCCAAATAATAACCATTCATATCTTAGAGGAGATTATAGATATTTAAATTCATATCAGTTACCCAGGATTCTGTCTAAACCATATTCAGATTCCTTTAATTGAAACACCTTAACAGCTGCTTTTATATTTATGGTTTGTAGTCTATTTAGTCCATCAGTAGATTGTTTTATTTTCTTTTTTTTTGTTTTTTTTTTT